AAGATGTCTGGACTTCAACTCCCAGAATTCCCCAGCCAGCATTCGCTGGCTGGGGAATTCTGGGAGTTGAAGTCCAGACATCTTCAAGTTGCCAAGGTTGAAAAACACTGATCTATAGAATGTTAGCACCGTAGAGGAGCAATCTCCTTAACAGAAAAACTGTAAGATATTTCTTCAATACCATAGCTGTACATAGTGCAGAAATTCAAGGCACGTGTTTGGATCATTTCATTTCAATCTTTGGATAAGAACACATCTGGAACATCTGTCTGGTAATTTGTTAGAGGAATGGGATCTTTACCATGAAAACAAATAGAGGGCTATTATATTTCTGTCGCAGATTCTAAATCAAGAGCTAGTAAAGTTTATTACAACCATGCTGTTATCTTTTCAAACTGAAAAAATTGGAAGTGCCCTGCCTTGACAAAGAAATAAACCAGAATACCCAAAAATATATGTGTGTTATGTCTCACTAATTTAACTTTCTCTAACAATTATATTTTTATATTGTATAACTTAATTTTATTTTGACAAAATTGTATCAGAATTGTATAAATTTGCAATTAGTATTTTAATATACCGGAACCCTAAATTAATTAACAAGATCAAGGATATCCTGTTATGGGACTGTAAGTAAACCATATTAAACTCACTGAAACTTCCTTCTGCACAGGGTGCTTTAAAGCTTTATTTTTAAAAAAATGTAGGTTTTGAAGTTTATATTTTCACTTTTAGTTTTGAACAATTACAGGTAGCCCTCAGCTTACAACTGTAATAGAGCCTGCCGATCATGGTTTGTAAGTGTCGATGGTTGTAAATCGGGTCACCCATGTGATTGACCCAATTTTATACCTTTCTTGCAGCAATCATCAAACAATAATTATGGCATTAAGTGAACCAATGGTTTGCTATTTTTATTTATTTGCATCTCATCTTTATTATTTTTACAAATAAGTCAAGGTGGTGAATGTATCCAACATACTTTCCTCCTCCTATTTTCCCCACAACAACAATCCCTGTCCTGCCTTCTAGTCTGGTGCCTTAACCACTAGACCAAACTGGTCAAAACTATAAGACAGTTTTGCTAAAAACTGGAAGTAAATGCCAGTTTTTATAAAATACACGTGACTATGGGATGCTGCAAATAGCTATAAATGTGGGATAGTTGCCAAGCACCCATGTGCAATCATATGACTGCGGAGGGTGGGGGTGGGCTCCAGTTCTCAGAACTTCGGAACCAGTTCGTTAAGTATTCACAGGGAGGCATGTCGTAACTTAGAATGTCAGTAAGCAACTGGTCGTAAGTCAAGGACTATCTGTATCCAAGTTTTCAGTCATTTAAAGAAATCTTTGCCAAAAGTAACATATTTAGAAAAGTGAAGAAGCCATTCAAATAAAACCATGGCAGGGTAGAAAATATAAGCAATCTAAATTTGCTTTGCACAAGCATTATGAAAATGCTCCCTTATGTTCACTCTATTTAAAATAAAAGTAAAAAGCAATCAATGTGACAGCCGTCGTCTTCTCTTATTTGCTCACCTGTCATAGAAGTCATCTCTGTAGTAATCATAGTCAAAGTCATAGCCACTGCTTTCAAAAATAAAACAAAAAAGAATAGGATTAGTACTATGCTTCACCAATTACTTTTTTGTAGCAACGTCTGTAAAGTAAGAGAATTCAGTCTCATAGATCTGGAAGGAAAACAGGAGTTCTGGATAATATATATTCAGATAAGTAAAACTATATCACAAAGAACTCAGATTTACTGTTGTGTTTGTTTTAGGACACAACAAGGCATTTGGCAGCATCTGCAAAAAACCACGTAATCAAAAACAAACAACCAATGGATTTTCATTATGACACAGATTCTTATCAATGTTACAATGATATGCAGAATCTCAGCTGGCAAAACTTCATTTGGCTCACAAAACACACAAATTGTACAAATATATACAATCTGCACATTTTTCACTCTGTGTCAGGTGAACCAATCTCATAATGCTTATTCACAATCCACGGATTTATGTGTGAACTGAATTATTGTTTGGTTACTAAAAGATAACTAGGTAGCAGATGGGAATTCTGATCTAGCCAAAAAAATAGTAGATTGGGATATCACAGGTTCTTCCTTAAAATTGTATGCAATTAGATTGACCCAGACTCAAAAGAGCTACAAAAGCATTGAATTGGATAATAGATGTTTATATCTCTTATACATCACTGTTGTGACTCGGCTAGAGCCTTGGGAGCTGTTATCAGACTCTGACAGCGAGGGGGNTGGAATTTGGCAGCTCTCTATGCTGGCTTTCATGTTAGTACATAAAAATGATTCCAAAATATGTTAATAGGCTTTCCTTTGTTATACTTGATAGCAGCAGTTTTGTGAAATGCTGTAATAGCTTGTCTTATTCAAGTCAAAACATTGCCAGAATATCAAGAATGACACTTTTCAACTAACATTTTCCATGTATGATGTATGTATGTATGTATGTATGTATGTATGTATGTATGTATGTATGTATGTATGTATCTATGTATGTATGTATGTTAGTTAGTTAGTTAGTTAGTTAGTTAGTTAGTTATAGGTTCCAATTACTTTTTGGATACAATTCAACATCTTGGTTAGCAATTTTTGCTGGAATATCTGAAGGACTGCTTTCATATTAAGAGTTTATGTTGTCATTGTTCAGAAGTTAGGAGCATTACCTCCCTACCATAGAAAAGTGGTTTCACTGGCTCCTTGTTCTTCCTGTCAGAAAGAGGCAAAAGTCTGTTCTTTTTATGGATCCCTTTGTGCTTCTGTTACGCTAGAGCAGTGATGGCTAACCTTTTCTGGACCGAGTGCCCAAAGTGCGCATGTGCAAATCCACCCGAACCCCAAAATGCAATGTGCACAAGGTCCCCTTGTATGAGTGTGCTCCCCCTGTCCCTGCATGTGCCCCACCCCTGTGCATGTGCCCCACCCACCCCCTGCATACGCATGTGGCTCCCCTGCATCCCATCCTGTGCATGTAAGCATGGCCCCCGCATGCCTCCCCCACATGTGCGGCAGAGAACTGATGACCAGCTGGCTAATGGAATGCACGCACGCACGCATGTGTGGTAGAGCTAAACTAGGGCACAAGTGCCCTAGGTTCACCATCACGGTTCTAGATAATTCTAGAGCAGAGAATTCTAGTCATTACTGCTGTTATTTTCCTTGCTCAGATATAATATCTAAGAATATGATTCCAAGGTATCTGGTACTGGATAGTTTTATTCTAATTTTCCCTTGCTTTCTTATTTCATAAACCACATTTTCACCACATTTTCTCTATTCACTTTATATCTCTATCGCAAACACCACATTAGAACTCCACTATTTTTCGGCTATTTCTTCTCCTGCAACTAGTAATAATCAAGATATTTTGATTAATGGTAACATAATCAACCAGAAATTCAATATGGATTTGGCCCTTTTGTCCAGCTATTGAGTCCTCCCCAATAACCTGGGATAGGCAGGTATTGTTGTTTAATAATATTGAATGTCTTAGGATGGAAGCTGTTCCAAATAAAGCTGCTTTTTGCAATTGATTGATGGTGATTTTCTTAATGCCAAGTGGCATTCAAGTGGTGCTCCATATGTTTTGGGATTGCACCAAGACTTCTATTACTATTGGTATTATCTTTGATTTCTTTTGCTAGTCATCCTACGTCTATCTGGAGGTCTTTATATTTTGTGATGATGATTAAATGTAAATGTTGCTTGACATTAATTTACAAATGATTTAAACATGAGCAGAAACTAAAAAAGGTAGACATAGCAGAATAATAAACCAGGTAGAAACAAAAGAAAACAACCTAACTTAAAAGGAAGGTTTAATCATCCTTGCCAACAGCCTAGGCAAAGAAATAGATCTTCAGGCCCCCAGCAGACTGGGAGCTATTTGGATCTTAGGGGGAACCTCCTTACAGAGAGCAATGTAGCAGAGAAGGCACGCTTCCAACATCCCGATAAATAGCACTGCTTAACTCAGTGGTCGGCAAACCGCAGCTCGCGAGCCACATGGCGCCATAAGGAGCCTCTTTGGCCCCTTGAGTGTGGTTCCTCCACAAAATACCATGTGGAGCAGCGGCGAGACTTTGCATGGCTGGTGATGACTCCGGAGGCCCTCTGCAGGGGCGGGGTCCCCTCGCGTTCGTCTTCACCGGCTGCACAAA